AATAGGAATGTAAAGTGGACTGACCTTAAATTATGGGAAAAAAGGCACCCTTTGAGAAAGTCTGATATATATATATATATATATATATATATATATATATATATTTGGGTGTGGAGAAAGATACCTGAATTATAAAAAAAACATTGATATGTCATCTTAAACATGTTTTCTCTTGTAAATTAGAAGGATATTCTCCAGATTATATATAATTACTTTTTATAAAAAATATTATATTATATATATGTTGGTCCTAAAAAGGCCTTGTGGAACTATTCTACTGTATGGCAAAAAGCCATAATTATTCTGTGGGAATTTCAGCAATATCAAACGTGTCTCCAAATATTTATATATGTATGAAATTCCTAAATAGTGTTAGTAATAATCTAAATGGTTATTAAATTATGTTAAAAAAATTAAAATATACTATTTATATTTATAAGATTTAGCAGTCTTGATTTATATTTTCATTGATTTCACCTTGAATAACATATTCTCAACCAATCTTTATTACATATAATTTATTAACTATATTAAGAAAATAAAATTATACATCATGGAATTAATTATATTAAATTTAAACGAAGTACTTAAGATTTTATTCATAAAAATGAATAACAATTGTCAACTCCCACTAAAGCATCTTTGCTAATCCTTTATTATATTTTTAATATGCATAATAACATAAATTAAGGTGTAATAAATTATATTAGGTCACATGAGATTTCACATATAAAACATAAATTAAACTCATGACAACATGGAAGTTCACATGGAGCTTACACGAGCTTGAAAGCTCACTTACTATAAAAGAAATTATGACAATATATCATGAACTCATTCACGAGATCTTTTTTTATTTAAATGTAAAGAAATATTATTTAATAAAATGTCTTATATGTAATTTAAATCAAATGCACATGGGAGCTTACACGAGTTTAAAAGCTCAAAAGTATAAAGAAAATCATGAACATATATTATGAACAAATTCATAAGAGCATGAAACAAATTCACAAAATTTTTGTATTTATTATATTTATAAATAAATATTAGTGATATTTTAATAATTAAATTTCTATTATAATTCTTATCATGTAAAGTTTGAAATTGGTTTTTATGCATTAATTATAAAGTATAGAAGTTTCAAAACAATAAAATAAAAACTTTTCAAAAGAAGCCATTGACTTTAATGTTCTTTAAAGAGATTTTTTCGACCTTCTTATTAAATAGAAAATTAATATTTATTTATTAAGATAATTTGTGATGTTGTAATCAATTTTTGAAAAATTAATTTTAATTTATTAATTTTTTTTTTTTTTGTGTAGTCCTAATCAATTTATTTATCATAATTATTTTCTTTCAAATCATAAATTAATTGTGAATTAAATAAATAGAATTTATTTAACGAATAAATTTTTTTTATCCTAATTGTATATGTGTGAGTTCGCATATCCTGGATTCGACAGTCGTATAATTGATATATATATATATATAATGCTTAATGTATAAATAAAATATTTGATGGTTTAAAATAATAATTTAATAATGTGAAAATAAACATTGCCGTAACCGGATTGAATATTGAAAATTCAGGGGGAATCATAGAGTGTAAATGCGATGGTGGCCTCTACCATCACATGGGCACAGAAACCGTCGGTTACACATACTAACCTTAAAAGATGGGTCAGCTTGCTGGACCCCACAACAATAGGGGTGGTGTGGCCCACCTGATTACTCTTTCCTGGCTTCATCAGAACCGATGATTTAATGATCAGACTGAAGACAAAAAGATCAACTCAATCAATTTAAGTTATCTATGATCTAATTATATTTGATTTCATAAAATATTCAAATAATAAAAATAAACATCGGACCAAATTTTATGTAAAATTTAAAAAATAATATACTTTTAACTTTCATTTAATCTTATAATAATAACATAGTATTCTAATTATACATGAAATCAATTCATATAATTAGAATACAATATGCTTCAAGGAAAAGAATTATATAGCAGAAATTTTGGAAATATTTATAACGTACCCACATCAGTAATAATCTTATAGTCAACACAGAATACATTGAAGTCGATTTAATCTGTATATAATTTTGTGATATGAAATATTTTCTATTATATATTCTAATTAATAATGAAAAAGATAATAAAATATATATGTATATATATATATGTGTGGGTCTACTCGAGTATATATAAAACAAAATTTCTATGAAAAGAACGTTTTGTTTTTGTTGGTTATGTCCCATCTTTATCTTACATAAAAAACAAATACATATAACATATACATATATATATATATATATATATAAACAGGGTATCAAACAAGTGCATCTTTTAAATCATATAAAGTTAAAATTGGATTCGTATAAAAAAAATGATAATTTAAATGTTACGTACTACAAATTAATTAATATGCAAAGCTTCATATATCAAAATCAACTGTTTAATTCCACAGTTTTTTTTTTTTTTTTTCCAACAAAATTGACCAATCGGATTAAAAGGAATTCATTTTAATTTAATTCAAAACTTTGATTAAAATGAATAAAAATTTATAATATTTTCAAAATAGCAATATTTTAGTAATATATATATATATATATATATATATATATATGATGGATATGTGGGAGAAGGGATTAGGGAGGATGAAATTTATGTCTTATAACATGTTCATGACAAGGGATGCTTGTAACAAGTGGTGATCTTTAATTGTTATGTCATGTCATAATGTGCTTATAAAGATGCTTTTACATTTATCTACACCCCTTTCCTTTGCAACTTGCATATATTATACATGAATATATACACACGCACACACACGTACACACGTACACACGAGCACATATATATATATATATATGTATATATAAAGCCAATAAAATAGCATTTATAATCTATAATGATATAAATTTTATAATATAGATTTATTATTTTCATGTAACATAAAAGTTTTAGTCTGCACAAGGAAAGAACATGCATATTGATCAATATATAAAGTCAATGTAGCTAAATAAACGTATATAATGCTCATTTTATACATTTTAAATATTATTTCTTTATAAAAATTTTCAACAAACTCATTTATGCTTTATGACAGATTGTATGTTAGAAAAAAAAAAAAAAAAAAATTTGCAATATTAACTAAATTTGGTAGGTACATACACCACAACTAATTACTTATTTTCTTTTATGTTTGAGATTGGTAGATACATATCTATATATATATAAATATTTCCATAGTTGGACCAACAAAATAAAATGTGCAGTACATATATATATATATATATATAGAGAGAGAGAGAGAGAGAGAGAGAGAGAGTGCGGTGGTTTGGCAGGTCAAATGTTTTGTGTGGATCATAATGCATTAAATTTGAAGGAAAGTAAAGAACATAATTCATGGGTCTGCACTAATTTAAGAGACGTTTAATACAATAATTAACTCCCTTTTTTAGTTCGGATCAAAATAGCTTTTCTTCTTCATTAATTCTAAAGACATGTTTGGCCCCAGCATTTTCAAAATTTATGAAATTAAATTTCTTTTATAAAAAAAAAAAATGAACAATTAATCAATTAGATAGGAGGTCAACAATCTGCATCTGTAAAACACTGCTCGTATCCTAAAAAAAAAAAAAAAATCTGAAGTTGCATATCACGGGCTAAACTTTATACTTCACTCCATCTACATATATACATTTATATATATATATATATATATATATACATGTATGTATGTACATCTCTTTAAATTTCTTGTTGTGTTGGGTTGCACCAGTGGGACAGTAGGTGGAGCATGGTGGTGGGTATAATCTCCTTTGTTCAAAAATAATCTTTTGACTCACTTTTCAATCTTGTGAATTATTATTATTATTATTTTAATTTTATTTAGATTCAAATCCCGTACCAAAACTTTAATCAACTCCTATTTATGATTCATGCGTGTAAAATTTTGAATTTAATTTTTTAAATACCATATAATATATATTTATCGCACTAATTAAGAGTTAAAATTGAAATTACTAATATAAACGAAATAAAATTTCTTAACCATTAAATATGTAGCTCCACTCTTGTTTAATTTCATGCAACTATCTATTGTTATTTTGCTTTTGCTTTTTTAAAAACAAAAAATCGTTTATTTTTTAATACCCATATATATATATAATATGTTATTTATTTGAATAGAATGAATAATATATCAAAAGCGGGTGACATATGCATTTGGTGAAGCTGTTCAAAATAATATTATAAATTACCCCTCAATCAATGGCCAAATTGGTAAGTCAATGTCCATTTAAATGTATTGTTATTACCCATTTAAAAAATCAAATTATTTAATATCTTAATGATAATAATAAGATAAGAAAGAAACTATATATTATATAACTAAGATGACATCCTCAAGTTCTTATCTCCTGTTTCAGCTTTATTTTTTTTTATTTAAAAAAAAATAAAGATAAATAAAGATAGACTTCTTTTAACATAATGGAAGCTGGTCATAGTTAGAATGGTCAAACATAATAAAGTACATTTTATTTTTTAAAATTCATTTATTTTTTTCTTCGGTGCAAATCTTAAAAAGATTTTTGTTCTTGAAGCTATACGTATAAGACTTTTGAGATTTTTTTTTTTTTTTTACTTTCTCTTCGACCAATTTGTAGGTTGTTTATACAATTAATTTACATATTTAGTTTTTCAATAAAAATTTAAAATAGTAAATATACTTCGGGTTAATGCACGTTACTCACATTAAATTTTTGTATCACAAAATTTGATTCTCACAACACAATAACCTTTCCAACAAGAACATAACACAATAAAAATATATTTATAGTATAGAGAATGGTTGAAATGGTTGGTGACCATTATGCGATGTTAAAAAGAGCTTGATGCTTAGATATTACATGTTTTCTCTTCTATTTTAGGAAGAACTGTACATATATATATTTAATTCAAAATCAAAATAAGCAAAAGACCAGTTAAGGACTTAACCTTCTCCGTCTCTTCTCCCTCTCTCTTCATGGTCAGTCAGATATGGGTTTTGGATGCTTGTTTAGAGAGAGAAACAAAGCAAAAGGAAAAGTTTAAAAAAAAAAAAAAAATCTTCTTTGGTTCTTTTGAGAAATTCTTATAAATAAGAGAAAAGGGTCTGGAAGATGAAAGTAATTCTCTGAAGATCTAGACCATTCTCTTCCCCAACTTGGACACTTCGACCTCCTCCATTCTTTATAAGACTTTCTCTCTCTCTTCTTCTCTCTCCTCTCACCAGACCAGAAAAGGAAAAAGAAGAAAACAAAACAAAACCACAGAAATGGTGGGTTAATTAATACTTTCTCCTTTTACTTTTCTTTCCATCGTTCTTTCGTCTTCAGTTGTCTTCGTGATCATACATATATGTATATGTATATGTATATAGCTTTTTTGGTTCACTGATTTCACATGAGCCTTGTACTGTACGTACTGTAATTATAGGAAGTAGAAGAACAGCAGGCGAGCAGATGGGAAGGATATGTAGATTGGAGGAACAGACCTGCACTCAGAGGCTGCCATGGCGGCATGCTGGCTGCTTCTTTTGTACTAGGTCTGTAATCTGTAATCTGTAATCTTTATATACACATCAATATATACATATATATATATATTTTTAAATAAGCTTGAAGACATTTTGTTGAAAAATTCCATGTGGGTTTCTGTGATATTGCGTAATATATATTACATGCTAAACTAATGATTTTGTTCTATGTATGTATAGGCGTGGAGATTTTGGAGAACTTGGCGTATTTGGCAAATGCAAGCAATCTGGTGTTATATCTATCCGATTACATGCACTTATCTCCATCAAAATCTGCTAATAACGTCACCAATTTCATGGGCACTGCCTTCCTGCTTGCTCTCCTTGGTGGTTTTCTTTCGGATGCTTTCTTTACTACTTATCACATCTATCTGATAAGCGCTCTCATTCAACTTCTGGTAACTAATCTCTCATCTCCCTGATTCGCTTCTTTCTCAATTTAATTTTTACATCTTAATTAACTTCGACCCTCTTCTTAATCCCTTATATACATCCATAATAAATCTCCTCTGCCATCTCTTTTTTCTTATACATGCTGGTTTTAGTAATTCATTTCTGCTAATCCCTCCCTTTTCTCTCTTTAAGAAAATGAGGAACAATAACATATACATATATATATATGTGTGTATATGTATATACGCACTGCTTTTGAATCTATTATGTATGTAAGTATTATAGTTAAAAGGTTATATTAGTAGAAATTAGACAATTTTTAGAATAACACAAATTCATGACTAAAATTGCTCTGGGCTGTTTTTGGCTTTTTACATGACTCTCCTCCACATGCATTGCGGTGAGGAAGGAAAGCTTTAATTTGCATGGAATATTGTATGAGCAACTTACCTTGTATCACATACTTTCTCTTTACCCCAAAACAAATCATGTCATCACCGCTAATTTTATCATTTTCTTTTAACTAAATTTTTTTATCATTTTTTTTTAAATAAAAAATTTACTTATTTTAATAATTAACAATAATATAATTAATTTTCTGAACACACAGAATAAAATACCAGCGGTTTGAAGCGATGGTTGGTAGGATCATGTGTGTTTTATTTACGTAAATGGAAATTAAGAAGCAAATTGCAATTGATTAATTACTAATTATGTTTTATTTATTTGGGTATTATTGTATAAATGTCACTCACGATAGGTCATAAATGAAATGGTGGGGACGTGTGGGTCCCATACATTGTAGTCGTGCAACGTATCCAATTGCTGCCCAGTATGGTTCTCGAGGCGGGAGGAGTGGACCCCACCCAAACCGTTGCTTTTCTCAATTTCAGCGTGAAAGCAACCTCCTCCGTTGTCTTTTTGCTTAACAAAATCTTGTCTCTCTCCACTCGATAAGACCACCTCAATCTCACCCAATCATATACTAAATCACGACCACGTGTTGCCATCCAACTCTTCCACGTGTCGTCGGAACGAGACACGTGTGATACTGGGCCCCACCCGTTTCTGCATGTAACCTTAACTTTTCCCCCTCTTTAATGCTGGACACTGTAATTTTCTTATGAGTTATGAGGTAGGCTACTTGCTTACCTGCCCAAGTCGGGCTCGGGTCAAAACTGTAGGCCCGAACACCATTTTAGACCCACCCTTGGTTTACTGCTATTCAGAAACCTGTGAAACTGAAAAATAATGATGATGGAGAAACCATGGCTGTTTTTCTAATGAGGTTAAAATGAAAAACAGGGTTTGATTCTGCTGACAATACAAGCTCACTTGCCTGGTTTAAAGCCACCGACATGCGGCCCATCAATGCCTCCATGCCAAGAAGTTGATGGGTCAAAAGCTGCAATACTGTTTCTCGGCCTGTACCTGGTGGCGTTGGGCGTTGGAGGCATCAAAGGCTCGTTGCCGCCGCACGGCGCTGAGCAATTCGACGATACGTCTCCGCAAGGAAGAAAACAAAGGTCGACTTTCTTTAACTACTTCGTCTTTTGTCTCTCCTGCGGCGGCCTCATCGCCGTCACCTTCGTTGTGTGGCTTGAAGATAATAAAGGTTGGGAATGGGGTTTTGGGGTTGCCACGATTTCTATCTTCTTGTCAATCCCGATTTTCCTTGCTGGTTCGCCATTTTACAGAAACAAGATTCCTTGCGGAAGTCCACTTACCACTATCTTCAAGGCAAGTTAAAATACAGTTTTATAGAGCAAGAGTTTAAGTGGGTGTTTGGTTTTGCTGATGATAGTTCGGCTAATGGAAATGGAAAATTCTGTGTTTCAATTGGGCAGGTTATGATTGCAGCTGCCACAAGCACTTGCGTTAGTACAAGTTCAAGCAACGCCATTGTTAACCTGGCCACAAGCCCTTCTTCGCCAACCCAACTCAACAAAGAAGCAGAGCAGGAAACCACCAAAGAAAAGGATCAAGCCGCCAATTTTACCCCGACGAGAAGCCTGAAATTCCTCAACAGAGCAGCGATTAACAAGCCAGTTCACGGAGCACTAGAATGCACTGTCGATGAAGTAGAAGAAGTCAAGATCGTGTTGGAAATCCTCCCAATTTTTGCTTGCACCATTATGCTCAACTGCTGCCTAGCTCAGCTCTCTACTTTTTCAGTCCATCAAGCTGCTACAATGAACACGAAGCTCGGTTCGCTGAAAGTTCCCCCGGCTTCTTTACCTATTTTCCCTGTAGTCTTCATCATGATCCTGGCCCCTGTTTACGACCATTTCATCATTCCCTTCTTCAGGAGAGTAACCAAATCCGAAATGGGGATCACCCATTTGCAGCGAATCGGAATCGGCTTAGTCCTTTCCATCCTCGCAATGGGGGTGGCAGCTCTCGTCGAGATCAAGCGAAAAAGAGTAGCAACCGAGTCGGAGCTCCCTAGACTCGCAACAGCCATTACCCATCAGCTTCTTCTGGATTGCCTTCCAGTACTTGTTCCTGGGCTCTGCTGATCTCTTCACATTGGCTGGATTGCTTGAATTTTTCTTCACAGAAGCACCCACGAGCATGAGGTCTTTGGCTACCTCGCTTTCCTGGGCCTCCCTGGCAATGGGATACTACCTAAGCTCAGTGATTGTATCACTAGTTAACAATGTTACCGACGGCTCCGGTCATAAACCTTGGCTCGCCGGCGGCAACATAAACCATTATCACCTCGAGAGATTCTACTGGCTGATGTGCGCGCTTAGCGGGTTGAATTTCCTGCACTATCTTTTCTGGGCGGTGCGATACAAGTACAGATCAACAAGAACAAGCTGAAACTGCGTATGCGATCAGCAAAAGTAGTCAATGTGCATATAAAACACGCACGCTATCGCGAGCGCCGAGTCTGACGCCTAGAAAAACATGAAGGCTGGCACAGGGAATGCTCTGCTCGTAACAAGGCGGTTTTACCCATCAATGCCGTAGATAGAGAAGGAGATTGATCATTACTTAAAATTTTCAAATCAACGGCTAAATTTCGTATTATTTTGTAGTAAATGAAGATTAGTTCAATGCTCATGTTTATTAAAGAGCAAATCAATACTGTGTACGTGCTGCAAGTTGTTAGCTTTTTTTTTTTAAATTTAGTATATTCCATTTCGAGATGATTGCTCTGTTTGGAGTGTTAGTAGGTAGCATATTGGGAGAGATGCCGGTATAATATATTAAAAATTGAAAGCAATTAACAAGAGGGAGAATGATGCGTGTTCAACCCGAACATGGGAGATTTGCGTTTTCACGCTTGGAATTTGATAAAATTTCTTGTATCTAAATATTTTTTTTAAAGAGCAATTCTCATAACAAACATAAGTTACATACCAGTCTCATAATTGATTTTATTTAGAAAAAAATAATTATCAAAAGCTTAAGGAGCATACATAAATTTACCAAAATTATGTATTTGTAATATAATGTTATCACCGCACCTTCAAGGGGATGTAGCTCAGATGGTAGAGCGCTCGCTTAGCATGCGAGAGGCACGGGGATCGATACCCCGCATCTCCACTTTCCCTATTTTTTTTTTGCAGTTTTCACACGCCTGCTAATATATTGCAATCTGGCATCTTGGTCGCCATTTTCCCTGGGAATTTTAATTTCCCGTAAATAAATGAAATTTTAGGTGACATTTATATGAATAACATACGTCTAAAATAATGCAAATTAATGTACTAATGAAAGTTCCTGAAAAAACAATTAAAGAATTTATCAATTTTTTACTTATACTCATTAATGTTTATATTATAAAATTTGTTAAAACAAATATTATTAATTAAGTGAAACACAAATATTTTTTGCTCTTAATGATATCAATTATTATTATGGATTCTATAAAATAAAATCTCAATAATATATTATTTAATGTTGTTCACAAACCAACCGATAGTTGTAAAAATTGTATCAGTTTATTTATTTTATTAATTTAATATGAATATATATTCAAAATATAGAAAACAAACAACAAAAAATTAGTGTAGAAAATCTTCTAAAATAATTTTTATTTAAATCTATTTATAGAGACAAATTGCTAAAATAACATTTTAACACAGATTGCTAAAATTAAGTCTTAATATTCCCCTTCGATTGGCACATAAATATCAAGAATATCCAACTTGCTCGATAGAGAATGAAATTTATCATGACTTAGAGCTTAAGTGAAAATATTTATTGACGTGAGAATGGTCGAAATATGAAAAGTAATAATATCTCCATATTTTACCGTTCTTGAACAAAATGATAATTTTATTTTAATATGCTTCATATGTTCATGATCGATATTATTAACAAAAATACATAAAGAGTTTGGTTATTACATTAAAATTGCATAGGCTGGGGATGAGAAACACCTAGTATGAAGTAATTAGTAAAGTTAAAGAAGCTCACTAATTGTAGTAGCAATGGATTGATACTCAACTTAGCTGAGGATGGGAGACTATAGTTTATTTCTTAGTTTTTCATGATATTTGGGATGTGCAAGAAAAATGATAAAACTAGTAACAAACCGTCGAGTCATTAGAAAACTAGCCCACTTTGAATCACGATAAGCTTGAAGAAAGAGATCACTTAAAGAAGAAAGAAGAATGCCTTATTCTAGAGATAACTTGAAGTAGTGGAGAATGTAAACACTGTGTCTAAATGAGGTTGTCTAAAATCTTGCATAAATTGATTAAGAATCTGAACAATACATATAATGTCAAGGCAAGTGATGGTGAGACAAACTAAGTGGCTAATAAGACGATAGTACTAGCCAGGATCAGAAACATGTTGGTTAAGCTGATAACTAATGTTGTTGTTCCTTAGGAAAAAAAAATAATTGAGTTTCAAGCATGTTACATTTTTGAAGAATATCAAGAGTATTCTTTCATTGATATAAAAAAAATGGCAGAATGTGAGGATTTAACTTCAATACCCAATAAGTATTTTAAAGGACATAAATCTCGATTATAAAAACAAGTGTGCATACATTGCTTGAATTTTTGGCAACAAAAAGAATGTTTCCGATAAAAACAAGATTATCCACATACACTGAAATAGTATGAAAGATGTCACCTTGATGAGATATGAAAAGATTATAGTCCTCTTCAAATTTTTTGAAATCATAATATAAAGAAGTACTAGTAAAATTGGAATACTGACTATGTATAGCCTAGTTAAGACCAGATAATGAATTGTGTAATATGCATGCTCTTGGATCATTTGGATCACCATATTTAGGGAGTTTATCCATATAAACTTCATTAGTCAAGTCATCATATTTATTGGCCACATCTAGTTCATGTAACTTTCAATGACAAATTACAACAATAACAAAAAAAAAACATTAAATACGGCAATTTGGCCACAGGAGCATAAGTGTCATGAAAATCAAGACCCTCAACTCATGGGTAGCCTTTTGCAATTAAGTGTGTTTTATAATGTTCAATAGTACCATCTGCATTATATTTGATCTTATAAACCCATCTACAACTAGTAGTACTTTTTCCAGTGGTATTGGCTCAAATACCTATGTTTGATTTTGTTTAAGTGTATCGAGTTCATAGTTCATGACATCTTTCTAATGGGAATCTTCGAGAGCTTGAGATAAATTTTGGTTTCACCTCCAAAGATGGCAATAAATAAAGTACAATGTACATGATGAATACGATTATAAGAGAAATTGAAAAAATGAGTAAGAGGTGCTTGATGAGGTTGTAGAAGGAGTGATAGGGATGTGATCCTTGAGTTGGGAAGTACTGCACAAAGACCTGCAAGTAAAATGACTTGGTTTGGATGTGTCAAGGATGTGAAACATGGTTTGGATATGATATTTAGTTTATTAGAGGTGATGAGGGAAAAATAGTAGTAAAAGATGGCGGTGCAAGTTCGTTAAAAGAAAGTAGAAAAAAATATAATCTCTCATTTATATTTTGTGACATGACATCATCAATAAATGGTAATGGGATCACAAGAAAATCATTTGTGATAGGAATTATAATTGAAACATCATGAAATGGAAATCTATCTTCACAAAAAAAAAAAAAAAAAAACGCAAGGCACAAAAATGAAATCAGAAATAAAATGTCATGTTTTCTAACTCTTTTAACCTTATGCATACCCAACAAAAATACAGAAAGATGCATGTGCTTGAAATTCATCTTATATCAAGACATCAATCCTAATATTTTTTTTTCTATTTTTATCAATACCTAGCCAATATGGGTGAAGAAAATTATGGCCAAAACTTGATCGCTAAAATTTCCAATAATAACAATGAAAACAACTCTCAATATGCAGCTTCAACTCATTTTGGTATTTTCTAACATTTGTTTTCCAACTTTTTTTTATCATCAATAGTTATTATTCTTTTAGATTCTCTCAATAGAAATAATTACTCTACCTAGGAGTTGTTATTAATGTTCTTTGTACAAAAAATAGACCTTGTCTTAATGGTTCTTTACCCAAACCTTTAACAGACTAACAGATGGTCATTGATAGAAATGCAATTCCATGTATATCATGGCTTTTTCAGCATAGCTTATGCAGAGATGACTTATGAAATATAGGTCGACCTTGAAGAAAGATGTTCCCAAGGAAAACATATTCATTAATTCAAGTGGACGTTATTCCTCTTATAACCAAAAAAAAAAAAAAAAACTCTTTTATCACTACTTATTATATCAAGTTAACGGAACTTTGGGATGAATACTATTAAAGAATATTTTCTTAAATGTGAAGAAGAAAAGGTTTACCAATTTTTTTATTGGACTTAATGATACCTTCAATACGGTACCTTCTCAAATCCTTAACTGTGCACTTTTACCTTCTCTCATAAAAAAAATACCTTGATCACTCGAGATAAAAATAATAACTATTATATTGTTCTATTAAATGTGTTGTTAAGGTTGCTAGTTTTACTATTAGAGGTAATACTGACACATGTTTCAAATCAAAATAACATTATACATATTCATAAACTAGGTGACCTCAAATTTAAATCTAGTGATACATCAAACCGTGGTGATACTTTTCAATGCGCAAAAATTAATAAGAAATCCTTTCCTCGTTAGTAAAACATGTGTTGGTTCCTGTTTTAGTTTACTCCATTGTGATATTTGAGATAGTTAAAAAGTTTCAAGTAATTTTTGGTGGCTTTTATTTTCTCAACATTGTTGACAATTTTTTTGCATGCTACTTGGTGTATCTGATGCATTATAAATCTAATACATATTATCACTTAATACATTGTTTGCATGCTCTATACTATGTAAAGGTTATACCAGCTCATCTACTGTATTAATTTAATTTGAATAAATATACAAAATACAGGATATAAATGGCAAAAAATTAGCCTAACTTTATTTCAAAACAACTTACATTTAATTTTAAAATCATCAGATATTAGAAAAATGAACTTAAAAATATATTTTCCAAAAAAAATTTATAAGGCAGTCTGTTTAACAGCTTATATATTACCCGAGAAACAAAAGAAGGTATTAAGGAATTGACAGCGTTAAACAAATCCGTCGTAGGCTTACTGCAAGTTACAAAATCTTGTCAGCTGAAATATCCATCAGAAGTCTCAACTTTAACACCTACATTGTTTGGACCCGAGTGTAAATATCCATCATAAGCACTGATCGAAGTGCCTACCTCCATATTATTATAGTCGAGACACATGAATTAGATCAATAAGAGTCCCAAAAATTCTGCATAAGTATTTCGATTATCATTTATGAATACGACAATGACACAAGCAAAAACCTCTTTCCCATTTTTCTCCTCCATTCAAATTTCAAGCATCACCAGTTCCTTGTCCGCAATTATATGCAGTTATCTTATTATGTTCAACAGAATCTAACCTTAAATAAATACACACATGGTGCCATAGGCGAATTCTAGAAGTCAAAGTAGCATTACTACTTAAGATAAGGATGAGCCAGCACCCATTGATGAACTTCTCACTGCAATCTTGACTGCACCGACAGCGCTAAGCTGTCTCCTATCGGGGTTCAACCCATTTATGTCCTGGTTCTTGCAGCATTCTTCTATTTGAACACCCACAAA